CAATTTCACCCTCACCATTCTTTTCTTATACCGATTTTAACCCTTAATTTTAATGAAATTACAAAATTACCTATCCCTCTCATCAAATTTCCCTTGTTATTTGAATTGGCCGGTTCATCGATTGAATCGGTTAAACCAATCAAACAAGAAACCAGACCTGAAAACGGTTCAATGACTGGTCCGGTTTTAAAAACCTTGCCCCAAAGAATGCAATGAGACTCACATACACAATAAAGAAATTCAAACCCCTTAATGAAAGTTAAATTAGATTTATAAAAGGCAAATCTTAACCTATTGTTTGTATTAAATATGAATCTTAGGTATAAGAAGAATTTTTTATGCCACACTTTAGAATGATTAAAAATGAGCATTATAAATTAGGTTAGAACGCCACAAGAATAATATTGATAAATTCTATAAATTCACAAATGAATCAAGAGAAAAGTCTCTTAAATAATCTCAAAATTAATAATCTTCCCTCAATTAGGGTTACAAGCCTTTTAATAGCTAATTTGGTCCAAATCAAAATAGAAAACTAATTAGTTATACACAAATCTTATTAAAAGAAGGATTTGATATATGCAATACTCCTAATAAGACATGAAGTGGATTTCAATTGAAATAATATTTAGCCCAAGGAAGTTAAAAAAGGGTAAAAATACTTAAAATTCATGCAAAATAGTTCAAAACATTAGTTTGTGACAGATTATAGCAAAATTGTTCATTTGCAGTCAAATTGAGTATTTTGATTCAAATTGTGCAATTTGGCCCAAACAACCTTAAATAAGCTACTCTTGGACTTGAGTGGTGTCTACTAAGCCTTGACGATATTCCAAGCTTCAATTCACTTACTATGCATTACATTTAGCCAAAATCTCCTCAATAAATGTATTTACAACTTCTAGTGTCTTCTTAACTCTAGCTCTCATTATCAAACCTCCTTGAATATGCAATGGATCACTTAATGTCATACATGTGTTGTCATTTTGATTGTCATCATTCCTCCTTTTCCTCAAAAGGATTTCTCCTCAAATCATCATCTACATCAAAAGGAGAAAGATCAACACATTAAAAGTAGTATTAATATTATACTCACCACAAAGATCCAATTTGTAAGCACTGTCATTAATTCTTGCAATCACATGAAATGGTCCTTCAACTCTCAGCTGTATCTTAGAAATGCCTTTGTGTAGGAAATCATTTTTTATGCCTATTCACCCAAACCTAAAATCTAGGTTCAAAAACTTTACATTTAAAGTAGAAATAAGTACATACCTACAAGATAATGCATCAGCCACAACATTTTCCTTTAGCAAAAAGGGTATTTAAACCCATGTGCTTGTCTATTTACTTGAAATCAACCCTCCAACTTTTTTTTTGAAATACTTAAACCCTTTGACTTTCATGTTGAAATAAATCAACCCACAAACTTTTTGATTAAAACAAATTAGCCCAAATCTATTGAATGACATCATGAAATGTTAGTTTACCTTGAAACCCAATTATTTGGCATTAATACATTGCTGACTTGGCACATGTGGGACCCAATTTAGTGACATGGTATTTACTGACATGTTGTGGACTATTTTTTGTTGACATGGCCCTTTAATTGTTGACCTAGACTAATTAATTTCCTAAAAATAATCAAATTCATTGGCTTAAAGTTGGGTATCTAGGGTTTTCTGCTTTATGAAATCCATTGTCAACTCTTGGAACGTCAACCAACATTGTAGGACCTACCAAATGACCAAATATTGGCATTAGTAAATTTTCAACTGTAGTGAAATTAGAAGAAATAATTAAAATTTTCAAAATCCTTTTCCTTTACCAATGAGAACCTCCAAATCAAGCGTATCAACATCAAATTTGGAATCAAGGTAATTATCAAAGTCGTGGCCAGGGGCATCAATGTGAGTGTCAGTGTGGGTCGACCACTTCATCTCTAAATTGTTGGCCAGAATGCCATTCTTCATATTGGCAGGCAAGCACAGAACTGTCCCAAACCATCCTTTTTGTCCTAAGACTGCATGTTGTTTGTTCTGCAGTGACTGATGTCAAAAATTCTCCCATCAACATATACATTGCGTTGAATAAGAATCAAATTCTCATCTCTTGAAGAGAGTCAATAGTCGATGAGGTAAAAGTTGTTTGTAATTGAGGGGTAGGCAGTGGTGGTAACGGCGATGGTGATGAAGATGGAGGAGAGGATGAGGAAGAGATTGAAGAGCGAATACATGGTAGGATGAATTTGACTAAAGTGAGGAGTGAGGTGGAGCAGGTAGAGTAAAGATCAATAATGTGTTTGGTTAGAGAAAGTGGATTTCACATAGCAAAAAACCCTAGATCCCCAATTTCAAGCCAACGAATTTGGTTATTTTTAGGGACATTAATTAGTTTAGATTAGTAATCAAAGGGCCATGTCAACAAAAAATAATTCATGTCATGTTAGTAAATACCAAGTCACTAAATTGGGTCCTACATGTGCTAAGTCAGAAATGTATTAACACCCAATAGTTGGGTTTCACGATAAGCTGATGCTTCATGACGTCATTCATTAGATTTGAGCTAATTTATTTCAATCGAAAAGTTTGTGAGTTAATTTATTTCGACATGAAAGTTGAAGGGTTTAAAGTATTTCAAAAAAAAGTTGGAGGGTTGATTTCAAGTATATCAAAAAATACATGGGTTTAAATATCCTTTTGGCCTTTTCCTTTCCTTACTTTTTACTTGATCAAATAAGAAAATGTCTCAAGGGATTTCACCCAGTTAGCATGTTGACCCTCCAACTTACACTCTCCTTTCAAATGCTGTCAAAAGTCTCGGGCCATTCAAATATAAAAATATATATTTATTATTTAGATAAAAGGATAATTTTTTTTACTAATTCTTATAATGACATGATAATTTTATCTAAGTAAGAACAAATATGAAAAAATAATCAAGATCTAATTATATTCTTATAACTTATATAAGTTTAAACATTAATTATATATAATTTTTTTATATTATTTAAATTTTATTAAATCAATGGTTGAATCTATTCTATTTATGTAAATACTATGTTTCAAATTTAAAATTAATTTGATATATGTCACCTTAAAAAAATGAACTATATTTTTACACTATTTATTAAATGGTCTTAAATTATATATTATTCAAAAATAGTTAAATAATATATCTAACTAATTTAAAATTTGGTATAGATGATATAAATAGTACATATATAAAATTAGTGATTGATTTAAAAATTGATATAAATTATATTATATAAATTGATAAATAACTTACAAAAGATTTTAGAAATTTGCCCCCTGACATAAATTTCTTGCTTCATCCCTAGTCATTATATATGTTCATTGTGTCCTTCAATTAATGGTATTTATATTACTTTATCAAGCACTATTAATTTATTGTCAAAGGCTAATAAATTTTGTTTATAATAATTTTCTTTTCAAATCTTTCTCTTTTATTAATTTTTTAATTTACACAAATGCACACCATTTCTTAGTGAAGGTTTCATTTTGCCCCTTAAAAAATATTTTTGGACTGCTTAGGATACATGAAAAGAATATATTAATTTCATATTTTTCTCATTAATTTATATAGAAAAACGCAAAAGTTAAATTAATTTCTAACACAAATAACGCATAAAAGATTTTAATTGAGCGGTCAATAAAATTAAAGTCAAATTTTTTTTTAAAAAATTAATAAGAAAAAAGTGCAACACCAACTTTTACCAACTATCGGTAAAACAATTAACTCATTAATCCATTTAATTTTCACTTTCCGAGAAGCCTAAGCTTGCAATTACTTCTTATCAAAAATCCCATTTAGTTGTTAATCAACAAAATGCATCTTATACAAAAAAAAAAAAAAACTTCCAAAATAAACTTGGAACATATGTGGACCAATTCCACTTCCCAGACTACTTTAGTTTCTGTAAATCAAAATAACATAC